TGTGGAAATCATTTCAGTTTTTGTTTCAAGGATTTACAGATCAGTATCATTTCACACAAGTGAAATAAGGGGCTCTGTTTCTAAGAGAGGCTCCAGAGCAATCAGAAGTAGAGAGGCYGAGAGAACTGAGCTCTGTTGTTTTGATCACTACATCACTGGTGTTCAGCAACTATTTTACTAGCAACAGAGATCTTGGAAAGGTGCCCCTGGGTTTTAATTCCTATTCAGTTGAATTCAGTAAGTACCCTATTCTAATGTAACCAAAACAGTGGATGCAGGGAATTCAGTTTCCAGCTTTTCATTCCCTCAGCAGGAAACCGTTGTTCTTTTCTCCAAATAGCTGAAAACAAAACAATCAGGAAAATATTCAGAGAATGAAAATGTTTGAGCTAGAGAAGGTAATCATTTACATATGTGCATTCAAAAGCTTTTGAAAATTAGCTTTTGAGCTTGCACTCGCATTTCTTCCCCACTTATTGTTGCTCTCTAAAAGTAAACTTTGTTCAATTCTGACAGAGCCAACAGGAAAACAGTAGAACATCACCCAGCAGATTCAAACAGCAGGAAAACAGCTTTGCCAAAAAATAAGTAAGTATCACTGATAAATAATATAAATAAAAGTTTTATTATTCATGTGTCCATGCTATTATCACACACTCTACTCTAGTACACTCTTGTGTGGTTTACAGCCTGCTCACTGAACAGGAAACCACTCAGCTTCACCCTGTGCTCAAAAGCTGCTGCTAAGCTAAATTGTTTTGTAATTGTAAGAGTGGGCTAGTTGAAACTCAGAGGTTTGTGTTGTTATTTCTCAAACTTTAGGCAATTCCAGAAGTGGAGGCTTAGGTATGGATAAAATGAGTGTGCATTGACGCAGTCTTAATGTTATCCTGGGCCAAATCTTCATTGCAAAATAACTTTTGATGTTGCTCCTGCATTCTAAACACTGCTACAGCAATGATCCACTAATGCTGCTGGACAGGAAGACACAGAGCTGTGGGTAAAGAGGGTCGTGGTGAGAGAGCCAACACCAGAGTAAGGTTTGTGTGGCTCTTGCACACCAATATATGTCACATTTCTCTGTGGCAGAGCATTGGCAGGATGGAAGAATATCCCACCCGGCCTAGGGGAAGTGTTAGAGCTTTTTGATAGAATGGGAAGGCAGCCCCGTGGAGTGGCACAGCTGTGTGTGGAAAGAGAATTTWAGTTCCTGTCTCCCTGAGGAAACTCATCCCTCCAACAATACACTGAATATGCTAAAGCATCAATAAGGCTGTTGCAATATTTATGTCTAAAATGAATGTTTGTAAAATGAGGAGAGCTCTCTGCAACAAACTTGGAGCTGTAAGTGAACAAAAATGTAAGCTTTGACCCAAGATTGTTGAATTTCCCAATCTGCCTAGTCATTTCTCAAAYGTAGTTATTATCTTTGTATCTTTCATTCATTCATTTAAACTGGACTCTTTTAGAAGATTCACAGAATAATTGTTAATATTTAATTTTTTTTTCTTTTTTTAATGTATTTAGGTCTTGCCCAAACATGCGTGAAATAATGAATCTGAATATACATCCAAAAGGTAAAATTCTTTCACTGCTGGAAAAAGAAAGTACTAGAGCATGTCTTTTTAGCTGACTTATTACTCAAAGGCAGTAATAGTCTGTGACCGATCTGAACACATTAATAACAAAAAAATTAAAGTATATTGTAGGAAAAAATGAAAAGTAATGGATACCCACYAAGGGAATATCCACTAATGCAGAAAGCAAAAAGATGTTTACTTCCAGTGTGCCTCAAACAATTTCTGGCTTCATGATGGTATATACTGCAAAAAGCTATCAATAAGTGATTCTCTTGATGCAGGCTGAAAACATTGCTTTGGCTKATAACAGAATTTTCCTTTTTGCTCTTCTGCTGCCTTTGAAGGTCTCCCTCCTTTTTGCAGTTTTCTGCTCCAAAACAAGAAGACAATGGCATGGGATCTCTAAATCTGTTTTCATGTCTGATATGGTCAGTAGTAAGCATTAGTGAGTGTTTAAACTACATTAATTTCAAAAGAAAACACTGCACATACTAAATTCACTGATAAATGACACTGTAGTTCACAACTGTAGCTGAGACATTTAATGCAAAATATACAAATTTACCTAACTAAAAAGTGGCACAACTAGCCAGACAAATTTATTTGATGCACCATACATTTATAGTGTTATGTGAAGTTTGCTTAAATGCATTCAATGTCCATATAATACAGAAAATTTAGATTTAGGGCTGGAAAAAGCAGCTCTGGGAAAAACAAAACCCAGCAATCTATCATCTAACTGCAAATCTTTTCTTCTCTGTCGACAGCTGCTTTTAGCACAAATGCTCACCACAACTGGCATTTATTCACATGCCTTTTACACAGGCTCAGAAGTGAAGCCTGCCTAATCTTTTACCAGGTATTCTAATTAAACCTATATTATTCAGGAAGTTTCTGCTTGTTTGCCTAGCCCCTTTATAGGCCAGAGGAAGATGCCTACATACTCGAACAGGAWAAGGCTTTGCATCATTTTTAGACGAGACAGTAAAAAAGTAACTGAAAATTTCCATGCTGTTCTTCCTTGCAGCATTTCCAGCTTCAGGSTTTTTTTCTACTGAGGTGGATAGGGCACACCCTGTCAGGATCACAAGGTTTATTAAATCACAACCCACAATTCTGTATCGCTTTCTGCCACTGGCTGAAACACCACAGTGACTAAAAACACTGCTGTGCTTTCACAGACTCACAGAAGCCAAAGGGAACAGATTCACCTTCTGCTTTCCCTCTTAAAGGGCTATGTTTTTGATTCTGGGTTTTCATGTACAAATCCCTAACCTGTCACCCTTTTAAACAGAACTTTTCTAGGTCACCATGAAAAGCAGTCAAGGTTGCCACAAAATGCACACTGTTTTATTCCCTTGCAAACTAAAGATAAGATATTTTTTCCATTTTGTGCTTTGACATCAAGCATTCTCTGTCAACTGGAAGAAACACACCCACACTTTTGCCATAGAAGTACAGCACCTTCCTATTTTTATAAGTGATATTCTCTATTTATTAATTTCACAGGCAATGCAGCAAAGCAACAAAAAATTTTCAGACTGAATAAAATATGATCAGTCCCTAGAGTTTTAGGAGACTCTGGGCTGTGCCAGCTAGAAGTCTTTAGCTTGTAGTAAAAAAAAAAAAAAAAAAATTGCCAGAAGGTCCAGCTGATTGCAATTACCTGGCACAAAGATTCTGTCCTCTTTCATCCCCATTTAACAGCCACTGCAGCTGAAGCCAGAAAATTTGAAGATGTCCCTGCTCATTGAAGGTGGGTTGGACTTGATGACRTTTAAAAGTCCCTCTCAACCCAAACTAGTCTATGATTCTGTAATAAATTGGATTTTKTAGGGTAATAGATAGATAGATTGTAAACAGGAGAAATAGTCTCCCCTCAGGTGGTGAGCCTTTTCAATGGTGCCTCTTCTAACACCTGGAGACACTTCTCATTCTGAAGGCCTRATACGTACAGCAAGGCTGACAGAGRSAACTAYTGATCTTCAYTRSAAAAATTRTATTSTGAAATAACAAGAGAGGTTTCTAGCTGGTTTGCTCTCYTCAGCTGGCACATTATTTGAGCATTGATCTTACAGGGAGGGCATACCCACAGGAAAGAAGCACCAGAGCTGCTCCCTTCGCTGGCCCAGTGCAAAAGGACCTGAGAAGAAAAGGAGAGGGAAGGCTGGAGTTCATCCCAGCTCCAGTGATTCATGCAGAACAGAAGAGATGATAAACTAACCTGGACATCAAATTGTAAACTGGTATTGGATAGCAATCCATCACCTCAAAGGCTTCTGTCAAACAGTCCCCTTTTAGCATTAAGCCATGAAATGCATGGGCAATAGCACTGACGTTTACCACTGTTATTCATTTTTTATGGTTGAGGATAAAACAACCACCTTTTTTATGAACAGAAGTACAAAGGCTGCAAACTAAGACACTGTTCTGCCTTTTTTATTATTATTATACTGGTACCACATTTAACTGGGCTTACTTTTGATTTGCACCAGCATAACTTAACAGAAAATCAGAAAAGTAGCTTGTACAAATAAGTCTCCTTCCTTGTCCCCCATGAATGATTCCCTGAGCAGAAATTGAAGTACCACATCTATTGAATAAATGAACRTTTAATGCCATCTGCTGGGGCATACAAAAATATGCAACACCAGGCTCACAGAACCAGAGAGACAAATGCCAGGAGAGTGTTTAGGCAGAAATTTGCTTCCTTCAAAACACAGGTGTAAGGGAGGGTTGTGGGGTGCTGCCTGTTCTTAATACCCTTCAGCGCCCGGACAAGAAGTAGGTTTGGTTTTAACTCTCTCCTTAGTATAAATGTTTTCAGTGTACCATTWTCCCTTTCTTCTAAGCATTAGAATTTGTTATTGTTGGTCTTGATAGAAGGACTTTTTAAATCAGGCCATTATGTACCCAGAGGTGCAAGATTTGTGAGGTTACAGGCAGCCTAAGGATTGAAACATCCCAGMACAAAAGCACCTACTGGGCAAGGTCATACAGCTTTTTGCATTAAAGAGTCACTGGATTAAATTCATAGATCAGGTAAAATGCAGAATTTGGGAGTTTCTGTTCACCAGTTCTTTGGCTCTGTTGCTCTCCTGGCTGTACCAGGAGACAAYTTCAGGGGCAGACAAGCACCAGCAAGAGCAGTTTATAGCCTGATAGCAAGAGTGTTCTCAGTTTGGGGATTTTCTTCTGCTAAGAGAACAAAACACATTTCTGTTCACAGAGGGATTATCAGACCAGGAATCCCACAGCTCTCAGAGTTCTKCACCAAGCAGCAAAACTCAGGAGAGAGAAAGGAGTTCAAGCACATCCTCCTTTGGGTGTTTTTGGTGGGAGGGCTYAGACATGCTCATGGTTGTGGATCCCATTTCCACACGGCCACTTCCTCATGCATTCTACAGGTCAGCAAACTTATGGCTGGACCTGCTTCATGTCCTTTCTTCAGTATCTCTAACATACTGTAAATAAATACTCTAAAATCTGTTGGCAGATTTTTATATGAGTTATTAGCTACTATATAATATACTACAGAATGGGACCTGCTGACAGTTTTTCTCCATTTTATACAGAAAACAGAACTATTCCTGCTAACACCTATCATTCTGTAAGTACCACATGTTCTTCCTAAAATTTTACTTTTCTTTCACTTCCTAATGTATGTTAATACCATCTTGACTATAATACTAACAAAATAATGCAATCATCACTGTTTTCAATGCAAAATATGGCATGAGAATTTTGAAATATAAATGAGAACTCTTACTTTGTTTTAGTGGGATCTAGACTGGAGAAGTGACTCACTGGTCATTTTTCCACTTATGGGCTGAATTTAAATACACCTTTATCATGAGATCATGTGGAAATAACAGGAGTCAAGCTGAACAATTATGTAAGTCATAAACTTCAAGGTTAAATATATACTGATACAAATGAAAGATGAAAAGCAAACAATTCACATTTCAATGTCTTCACATTTGTATCTGAAAGCCAGGTTTGAGTTTCAGTTCAGCCATATAAGAAGAGTGTAAATGCATTTTAAATCACAGAAAGATGAAAATAAAGCACAGGTCCATGTTTAATAAGTAAGCTGGACAAATAAAGATTAAAGAAGTTTGATGTAATCAACACTTTGATGGCTACAGGTTTCACAGAAAGATTAATAACACTCAGATGCTCTRTGGGAATAATACCAAATAGAAGGCAGCAACAGCACAGAGCAGAACAGGGAAAGAACGGTCAGGAGAATAATTATTTATGCTAAGGCACTTCCAGAATTATTTGAAGAAATTTCTGAGACATTAATTGATTATCTTTGGGAATTCTCCAAAGAGACCTGAGGAAAATGATGGAAAAGAAATATGGAAACCACAATTTCTTCCAAGAAAGAAAGCAAATCCTGAGGATTTATTTGGTACCTGGAGAGATTATTAAACAAAGTCAATTTTAAAGCATCTTTTGGAAGTAATAGGCCTGATTGTGTAAAGAATTGCTAATATGTACATTTTAAGAACATGTCATCAACTCCAAAGTAATTTCATTTTCAGCAGAAATATGACAACAATGATGAGAAAAAACTAGTAAATTTACTCTATCTTGATTATTGTTGTAAGGCCTCTGATATTTGCCAGAAGACAGTCTCACAAGCAGACACCTGCAGACCTRGTCTGGATGAAAATGCATGAAAGGTTTGCACAACTGATTGAAAAAAATAGCCACTCTCAGCCTAGCTGACAGTAATCTGCTATGAACTGGAAAGAGTTGTGCAGAGAAGGGTCTGAAAACCCAGGCACCCTGTAGGGTCTGTCTAGGGTATGGTGACATTTTTATATACTGTCATAAAGACAAACCTCACCCTGMAATACACTGCAAAGAACACTTTTTGTTGTAATAAATATGTGTACAACCTGGAGAGAGCTCACAGGAAAATAACTATGGGGATATGAGATTAAATCTTTTAAGATGGTTGACAATTCAGGAAAGCTTTAAAGAAGCATATTTGCTTAGTGAAAAGACTAAAAGAAAATATAATTATAGTCATTAGAATAATAAAGGTTGAAATCAAGTGGGTAGTAATCTTTTTTTTTATCTTTGGAGGGTAAAACAAATTGTTTTCATTTTTAGCTCTCAAGTGAAAGCATGACCTGAAAGGACAGTTAATGAGCAGAAGATACAAGAGGAATCTACTGATTCCCCATTACTAATAGAGAATCAAACAAACAATAAGGAAGATGCAAATACATTGYTGTTAGCAAAATATGACTTCCAGAGGCACGGGGTACCCTCAGCTGAGGTCCCTCAGCAGCAATCTCAGCTCTGTGCTGAAGGAAGGCAGCAGTTCTGTCCCAGTGAGCAACCAGTGAGGATGAAGGGTGGAGAGCCACTTCAGAACACAGTCTTGAACAAACCTATTCAAGTGTATAGACACATCCAGRGACACCCTGAGTCACTCTCAGCACCAGATTTCCATGGAATCCACTGTTCAACAYATACTTGCTTTTACATTCACTTGGACTGCACATTTGCTAGCACAGATTCCCCAAAACACTGAATGTTTTTATTTTGTAGTGTGGCATTTGTGATGAGCTCTTTAATCTTGCAAGTAACATATGTAAACAGTCAGTACAACACAAATACCACATGGATAATACTATAATAAAAGAAACAGTTTAAATATCTGCAATGATGATGAAATTAAACACTGTCGTTATGTTTTCAAGAGCAGAGTGTAAAATTCAGAGAGACAYTTAAACTGTCTCCCAAATGGCTTTTTTATGAACCTAAATTAAAAATTCAGGCACTCAAACCATTTCCTCAACTACTTTCCATYCCTTCAGTTTCCATCAGAAAAGTTTTCCATGCAACACAATGTCTGGTCATGGCAATCATATATTTCCACATTGAAATTAATCTTGAACTTAAATTTATTTGTGTTATCTGTATATTTCTTCTTCTGTCCAGGACAAATACCTGACAATGAAGGTCAAGGGTGATTTGCAGTTTTCCTCTGAGTTATCTGAGGAGGAAGAAAATGAGTAYGAGACTGTAAATTCTTCCATGCTGGAGGCCATCCATTCTTTGAGAATCCTTCCTGCTAAGCCTCTACAAGAATCTGAATATGCAGGTAACTTTTTTTGTCTGTGGAAACTGAGCAAAACACGGAGTTGTATAGGAACATTACAGACTTGAAGTTTTCAGATATTTTTAATTAAATGGTTCAGCTGAAAAATAGCACTGGTAAGCAGAAACTTGTGAAGAGTTTTATTCTACTTCTTCATATTCAACAGCTACCCCGATTTTCATTAGATTATGATAAGTTAATAATTACACACTGCTTTTTTAATTTTAATATTACCTTCACAGGATAAATTCTATTATCTAATTCCACGTGGAATGTGCAAAAAACTGGCTGATCAAACCCATAATCATTTCAGAAAAACYCAATGCTATTAAAGCCTAGAAATCTTTAAGGTGGAAATCATATTAAAGAACACTTTCCTCCAGATGATAATATTCTTTCTAAAGTAGTGCTCTTTCCCAAGGTGTTCTCTGATGATTTAAATAGCAGTAATAAGCAATTACTTTGAGTGTATTTCTCARTCATTCTCAACCCTGCAAAGTACTGCATTAATCACCTTTTGGTTTACTAAAGCCATTCTAAGTCACAATTAATGCTTAAACACACAGAGCAAATTAATATCCCATTTATGGAAGTGAAATGTCATCCCAGCTGTGCATTGCTCAAATCCATTATAAACACTCTAAAGGTTTTGAATCATTAAAAAGCTGGGGGGGAGTTCTGGATGAGAAAGAATGGAAACCATAAACCAAAAATATCTGGAAATACAGGATCAATACAWCTATGAAAGCTTGCTCCAGCTCACATCAAAGTCAGCAAAGATATTTGCTACTGATTTTTTGGGGAGTTTGTTTGATGTCTAAACAAAGAGATGGCTTTTAAAGTGAGTAAACTTATCAGTGTGTGAACAGATCACAGTCTGACCAACCAGATATTTTACATTATGTCCAAAGACAAATTTGTCCATTTTATTTGGAAATCTAAAATGAATTCCAAATAGAGTTTTTATCTTGGTTAGTAGCAAAAGCTTTCAGTTAGCAGTCAGCATCTTTTGTCATTTATGTAAGACTGTCCTGAAATAGCCAAAAGACACTGTTTTTGTTTTGTGATTTCAGATAAAACACATTAAAAAAAAAAAGCTGCTTTTTGCCTGTGTATTATGCCCAGTAACTATAACATGGCAAGATACAAGAGTGAGGAAAGGACTGAAAATGYATTTCAAAAGGGTAAAATTCAATGCTAACATTTTTGCCATCTTTTCTAGAAAAATACCAGTGCCCTGGAGATGTAAAAYTAGTGACATGCTAGCATAAAACCTSTGCATTTCTTTTTGGTGACCAGGGATGGAATTTTATTAAAAGCTAAAGTAAAAATTAAAATACTCCCTAAAGAATAAAACCCTTGCAACCCTTCCAAAACCAGAACAACAAAACGGCATTGCCAAGATCAAAGGTTCAAATGAAAAACAAATTCAGTAATGTAACCACAGTGAAGGTCAAATGTCTGCCTTAACTGTTTACCAGCTTCTGAAGGATTTTTTTTTTAACCACAGTGAGGAGGTTAACCAAAAAGATAATACCAGGGTCATGCTTACATCCTCAATACAACTGCTAAAATGGCAGTTAAGTTTTGGGAAGAAAAAAAAAAATTAAAATGCTATAAAAATGGCAGAACCTGACTTGAAAAACAYATTTTAAACATTAAAACCACTTCTTCTTAAAACATTATATTAYTGAATTACTCAGGCTTGATTTTACTTCCTCTTTTACAGATAAACGTTGCTTGAGGCCYTCAAGTACCACTTCCCCAACAAGCGAGAACCCATCTCAGCCCCTTCAACACTCAGCTGTAAGTAAAGATACCAAACCTTATTGACAAACAGATTGCTCTTTTCTGTAACACCCCAAAAAGTGCAGCCTATTTAAAGCCTTGGCCACATCACATTCATTTGTATGAGGCCACMCAAGTTCCTGTGAGCCGTTCCTGTTTCACTTTGCCCTCGCCCCTTGCTTTCACTGGTTCAGTGCTGGGGTTTCACTGAGTGTCAGAG